TTCGTCAATACAAAGATCAGGATTCAAAACCAACTCGGAGATATCGTCTCGTTGTTTCTGTCGGTGAGGTCGTGTACTAAGCCAATCGTCAGCGATCTTTTTACATAAAGTTGAGAATGGTCTATGTGACTGTAAGCGAAATTGTGGAAAGGCACTTTTTCGTTCTGCTGGCTTATAACAAACATCTTCTTGAAAATCCATTGAAATCTGCTCTGCATGCATTTTAACTAGCTGCAGTACAGATTGAATCGTTGTCCATCGTTCTGCGCCTGCATCCACTTGTTGTTGACTGCCTACAGTGTAAATTAATTGATACTTAACGTGCAGAATCTCATCCGACTCATCCAAAATATCTCGTGTATGCTTTTTTAGCCATCTTTGCATAGTTAACATCGAACGACTAGCATCAAATTCCGAGGGGTGTCCAAGGTACCGTACTTTAGGAATTCCTAGAGTTCCTAAAAAATACAGCAAAAACTAATCATTTCCTTACAGAACTGGGAACTTACCCTCATTTCCTACACAATTCCCTATCAATTCCATCCTCCATTCCTAACACATTACTTTATTTCTCACACACCACCTCAATACCTATCCACAGTCACTACTACCATTCCCAAGTTCCTAATCAAGGAACTGATGCCACGACAATACCTACAAAAGGAATTGAGGAAATCAGTAGAACTGACCGACATTTCCCTAGCAGGGAACCGACCTCTCCACCCTACACAACAACGTTCAATACAGACCTATCACACTTCGCTCTATCTATGAACATACATACCAGTGAGACTCTATTCAACAATAATGAAATCACATACACGACGCCTTTGCCTTAGTTCTGCTGACAGTTCCCAGAACTGAAGTAGGTTCCTTCAAGGTACCTAGTAGGTACCTGACACAGTACCTTAAGGAACTGACACACTCACACAGATACGTATATATGATTGCCTGGAGAATTATTCCTGGATGAGGCTAAATTCAAGGAACTATCTCAGTTCTGCTGACAGTTCCTAGAACTGGGCTAGGTTCCTTCAAGGTACCTAGCAGGTACCTAACACAGTACCTTAAGGAACTGACACACTCACACAGATACTGATATATAATTGCCTGGAGAATTATTCCTGGATGAGGCGAAACTCAAGGAACTATCTCAGTTCTGCTGACAGTTCGTAGAACTGAGCTAGGTCCCTTCAAGGTACCTAGTAGGTACCTAACACAGTACCTTAAGGAACTGACACACTCACACAGATACTGATATATAATTGCCTGGAGAATTATTCCTGGATGAGGCTAAATTCAAGGAACTATCTCAGTTCTGCTGACAGTTCCTAGAACTGAGCTAGGTCCCTTCAAGGTACCTAGTAGGTACCTAACACAGTACCTTAAGGAACTGACACACTCACACAGATACTGATATATAATTGCCTCAAGAATTATTCCTGGATGAGGCGAAACTCAAGGAACTATCTCAGTTCTGCTGACAGTTCGTAGAACTGAGCTAGGTCCCTTCAAGGTACCTAGTAGGTACCTAACACAGTACCTTAAGGAAC